TGTATTTTTATGGAGATTGCTATCTACAGAGCAACATTTTGATTTAGAATGGAACCTTAGAAAAGATTGTTTCTTACATAATGTTAAGCCAAAAATTTTCAGCCCTGGGCTTCATTGTATGACAGCCTCATTGTACATACAAAAATTGCTGAGCTCTCACAAAACTGCTGAAGTTTTACAAGATTTCAAAATGTGATTTTGGCAATTTGGGGTAGGGTCTGTATATCTTTTTTTGAAATAGGCAGTTACTCTTATATCTATAGGCTTGTTTCCAACTTCAGTGCTAAGCTGTATTGTACTACAGTAACATAGTTTTGGCTTCTCATGATGCAAAAACCCATGTAGTATGTCATAGCATGATGCATGCACCCAAACAGTGTGGCTTGTTCAACAAACCATGGCTAAAAATTCTGGCTTAGGGTATATAAATATATACTAACAGCAGCTATAATGTAACTTCTCAAAATAATTTTGTAAATCAGCACCCTTTTAAAAAATAAAAATGAAGTCAACAGAAACATTTGTTTGCTCTGATTCCTCACAGATAAGTGCGACAATTTTCACTTACAGGTGTGCTTAGAAACAGTTTCCATTGAAGTTCAGAGGATAGTGTTGTCCTGTAGGGCTATAGTCTTAAATTGAAAATGCTAAGCAGTCATATGGTTGCCATTAATAGGATCCAACTCAATGGCATCTATTGATACATGAAGCGTTCTTCCTGTATCCCTTGATGCATTCTTGTGGAACAGGCAGGTTTGGGACAACCAAGGTCTTTGCTGCAAGTCTACCATTCTGAAGTTGGAATAATATGAATACACACATTCAAGATTTAATTATGTTGTAAATTTTATATAGATGTAATTATTTTATCTATAGTGTGGTACATAGAGTAACTGACCTTTGGTAGTTTGTTTCATTAAGTATTTGTATTGTTTTGTTTGAATTGTATTCACGTTTGGTCTGTTTGAATTTTCATTTGTAGTTGTAAGAAAAGAAAAATAAAATAACATTATTAATTATCTTTTAATATATATGCATCAGAATTGGCTTCAGACCACAGAGAAAATACAATTTCTGGATATTTCCCCTGTATAAAAATCACCTGCAAGTAGAAAAACAGTTCTGAGTTTTAATGTTAAAGTAATTTTCAGCATGAAACTTACCTGCGTACTGAAGTGGTCTAATCAATTTAACTGAGTTACATTACAAAAATAAACCAGTATGGTTTTGTTACATTTTGATAATGGTTCTTTAATGTTTAAAGCAGTGCTCAGTTTGAAGTGAAACAACATCATAAAGCATATTCATCAGTGACACAACCTTGCAAAATCTCATAGCTGTTTTCATGAATAATTTGAGTTGCTGGTTTTTACACCAGGGAAGCTTGATTTTGGAGTTCTGTGCTTCGTGAAGTGATACCGGATTTTATATATGCTTTTTAAAAATAAACTTGAAATTAGGTTGATGCTTTTTAATTTAGAACGTAAATTTATAGTCAGTTACTTTGAACCGTACATGAATGATAACCAATATATGCAAAGAACAATGGCTTTGCATGCGATTTTGAAATCAGTGATGGAAGAATAGCAAGCAGAATAGACATATTCTTATTTTGTTTAATACAGATTAGCTGGATAGACCAATTTTAGTGCTTCATAGATTTTGAACAGTCTTGTAATGTTTTAGGAGCTGTTTCTCATGCTTTCAATTCTGCATTTAACTTTTGTTCAGCCTTATTTTAGAATTAGCATTGTAAAATATGCATTTATGAAACTTGCTTTTTGCAAAATTCTATGTTAGGAGATTTCTTTACAGCCTTCATTTTAAAGTTGAAAGGAGTCAGGAAAGCTTGCTTGAATTCTATAGATAATCCATACATTTAAGTTTCAGCTTACTATAATATTACTTTTTGCATGTTGTTGTCAGGGTTTTTTTTTTTTTAAGAGATCATTGTATTAGAATTTACTGGCTTTGAGCCATTGGATTATAATCATTTGTCACTTTGCTGTTTCAGCAAAGTAGATGATGAGTTTGAAAGACCTGGATTGCTAGGCCTGCAGTTTTTTTTTTTTTTCTGTTCAGTTGAAATACTTCATATATTACTATATATAATGCTTTATATATGACCATTTAGCATACCACTTAGCATTTAAATAGCAGTGATGTTTCATGGCATGAGAAGTTTTCTCAGTTTTAAAACACTTCTGTAACTTCAAAAGAAAACCTTGTAATTTTGTGGCAGTTGTGGAACTGGTTAGCTGTATAGGAAACTAAAACAAAAATCCTTTCAACATTGTTTAAATCATAAATGCAACAGTTAAGGTACCCTCTGACAAGTACCATGGTTCTCAGTTTCAGCAGCATGTGATGATAGGAATTTGTTCTAAATATTGAATGTATAACTAGTAGCAGAAGTGTTTTTCTCTGACAGGGTCATTCCCCCATCCCCATTATAGATGGGTGGACTAATGTAGTTAAAAGTCATCATACATCCTTTCTCTGAAGTAATTTATTTAGGGCTCGAAAAGAGATGTTCTCATTCTGCCTTGTACTTAATAAATTGTGAAGTGTGTTTTTCCAAGATGGAGGCAGAAAGGCTGTTGTTAAATGCACATCAGATACTGCTACTTCACTGATAAATTGATAAGAAGCTTAAATGAATATCATAGCTTCAAAATATTGGGTCTCACCTTTTGCCTTAGTGTATTCTGATAAATCACACTCAGTTTTAAATGGGCTATTTTGGTTGGAGATTATTTTAGCTTAGAAGTATTTTGTGGAATGTATTATTCCCCAAAAAACACTAAACCTGCAATTTTGTCCTTGGGCAATTATCAAATAGAATAGGCCAAAAATATTTAGACTTCTTGTTTAACAGCTGACACCAACCCTCCCATCATTCCTGCCACTTCTCCAGCAGGATTTGCAGGTTTTGGAAGACATTAGTGCAATCTTATAGATATTATCTGTGCCTGAAGTACAATTTGATCCAAGAAATAAATTCCTCCCACTCCTTGTCTTTGTCTTGCCATCCTCAGATCATCCTGTTTGGATTGTCATGGTGAAACAAAGGCAATTTTTTAAAAAGTTATTCTATTATGGATGTGCTCAATTAGTGATTCAAACAGCTTCTTAGATGACTTAGTTGGTTAGCCTGATGTGAGAATATCAGTGTGTTTCCCCCTTTCTACAGGTCTTTCACTTAAGAACTTTTTGTAATTGGAAGACATGAAATGCAGATAGTTGCAAAATGTGAGCAAGTATACATAGCATTATAGATTTCCAAAGCCAGAACAAAAGTTTAGTACACTTTCATTTAGAAATACAAATGACTGCTACCTGTCCAGCTGGAATGTAGGTCAAAACATACTGGGAGAAATAGCAGAGAACAGATAATTTAGTTTACTGGTGTAAGAAGCCGACATATGCATAGTTTGGAATAAAGAAATGGTAAATTGGACTGTATTGTTTCAGATTTTAGAATGGTAGTGTATTGAATGGAAAACTCATTCTATAAACTCTCTTCAGATAACACATAAGCACAACAGGAAAGGGATTCTTTTTGAGTCCTGGAATTGCTATGCAGTGAATTCTAAGTAGAGGTAGGTTCTGAAGTGGTGCAGTCAATTTGTCATGGCAGGATTTTACTGCTTCATTCTGCTGTGTAAAATAGACAAACATTGGAAAAGAGGGCATGTAATATTAAAATAATAGTCTATAGCTGTGTAAGGCAACATTTTTAGGATAGCATCTTAAATTACTACAGTGTATTTAAATGAAGTTTGTGGAGCCGTTCCATTCCGTGTTTTCATGACACTAATTACGGGGTTGTATGGTGTCTTTGTGCTTGAATAATGATTTGAACTGTTGGAAAGATAGTTTTCAAGCATTGTGTTCTTGTGAAGGAATAATCATGTAAGGATGAATGTTACACCATAAATATAAGCTAAGATGGGGGGATAATATTAAGTTTGTATTTTGAGCCACTACTTTGACGAAGTGGTAAATTAAACATTTAAAGTATTGATTTAAATCTTTAAGAGGAATGTGTATATGGGAATAAGTTGTAACAGCATTTTAAATTGTTGGTTGTGTTTTGTGATTTGCATAATTTCATCTAACACATCTCAGGTTACAGTTCAGCAAGTTGTGCAAGTTGCTGTAATTGGAAATGCTGTCAGAGTATAGTATCATTTGAAAATAGTTTGAGTGGTGCTGTTGAAAATTCATTGAAATATGAGAATGACTTTCAGCATACTTAAGTTGTCAGATTGTTTTGAGGTGTTGCATACGGATACCTAGCAGCTGCTTAGATAGTCCTTAATGGATTAACAAATGCTTTAAGCAGATTTCAAAACCAATCTGTATTATTATATATAGTAATATTTAGTATTATATTTTACTTCAAATTAATACATTCTTTTCCAGTTTAGAAAATAGCAGCTTTATTATTATGGTTTAAAATGGTATAGACATTAGATGTTGCAAGGGTATTGTCTTTAAAATAATACGTTTACATTTTTAAAAAATCTAAATGCCTAGCCTCCAGCAAACATTTTTATTTCCAAGTCCAATTCTTATATTCATATGCACAATAAAGGGATAGGTGCAAGGTAGAACATTTTATATCTGCAAGGGATTATTACATTTTCCAACAAATGCAAGTAATTTTTTTTAATCTAAATTAAGTTATTGAAAAAGTGTTGGGGGGAGGAGGTAAGAAGCAGAAATGTGCTTTTTGTGCAAAACAATTTGTGAACTTGGCTTTGTCCTGATCACAAATTTCACATGTGGGTCAGAGGCACCTATTCCTTGATTGCCAGCAGGTAGCTATTGATTTGCATCCAGTTCTGATCGGTGGATCTCAGAACTAAAGAAAAACAGAAGATAAATAGACCCCAAAGACCTGAAGTATATATATTTCCGATGTATAGAAAAGTCACTTCTTATTGAGAAGGCCCAATATCCATAATGGCAAGTTGGAAAGGAAACAAAGCAGAATGGCCATATCAAAAGTAGGCAGGCAGGTTCTGTGGTAGAGGCTTAGTTATACTTGATAATCTTGATATTTAAAATCACTGGTTTTTAGAAAATAAGAGCTATAGGTGCAGCCTGGTATTCCAGAATCTAAAATATTAAGATTGTAACTTGAGTAGCTTCTTGAGGCTTTGGACAGAGAAGCTGGTTGGTTGTCAGTTTCCCAAGATCCTCCTATTTTTCTGGTAAAGGAACTGCTGAAGGTAAGATTATTTTTAACAAAAGGCAGACGTTTCTAGTACCCTGTGCTGAATAGCTTCAGTGTGTCAAGATGCTATCAAATTTAATAAATTACTTACAGTATGTTTTACTTTTCAGTATATCTTTGGGGAATTCAGCCCTGATGAATTTAATCAGTTTTTTGTGATTCCCCGTTGCTCTGTTGAGGTAAGAACAATTTTAAATCTCTTTCTGGGAAGAAAGTTCTAGCTCCTGTAAAGAGAGTGTTGAGTCCATTGTAACCTGCTTCAATTTAAGTCTTAACAGATTGTATTGTCTATTAAACATAATTTTTCCTCCTGATAAATCAAATGTGTAAATTTCTTTTAACAGTCTCAATAATAAAAGGCTGCCATATGTACTTCAAATAATTAAGAAAAAAACAGTGTTTTCCTTTAGTGTATGCTTATCGTATACAAGAGGGAGCCTGGACATGCAAGAGGAAAGAGATGGGGATAGAATGTAATATGGTGGTGTGCTTTCTTAGCCATGATTTAGATTTGGAATGCTTTGATTGTTTCATTTAATAGAAAAATAACTTTCTTGTGCTGAAATATTTTCCCCCTAATTCTTCATTTATTTCTCTATAGCTGCCTCCCTACAATGAAACCATTTCATGTGGTCTTAAGTCTACAGGAGAACTCCATGATGGTAAGAAGCCATTCCTTCTTCACAACTGTTTTCCCAACCCTTTTGAAGTCCAGTGTATTGCAGGTTCGTTCCTTGAGTTCAGCTTTGGGGATTTGGATTACTTTGCTGCTTAAGCTTACTAACCCAATTACAAGAATTATTCCTCATTTATAGTATGTTTATCTAACAGTTTATCTTACCTTCCCACTGATCATTTGAATATTTTTATTTCAAATCAGTTAAGCATTTTGAGCCCTTTTTGGAGTCTGTGATAGCTTTCCATAATTGTTGATTATTTGGAACTCACGAAACTTAAAATTACAGTATTCTTGATTATGAAACCCATCTTTCAAATTGGGGAAAATAGATTCTTTTTAAAAATTACTATTTGCTTTTCAGAAAGAGAGAGAGAGAGAATTAGAAAGGGAGGGAGGGAAGGAATATTATTTGAACAGGGACAGAAAAATGTTTAAACTGTTGCATTATAGGAAATGAATGAAAATATTGTTGGGTGTCTGTTTTTTGATATATTAAGAATAATGTATTTTGCTTACAGTGAACTAGTTCCTCACTGGGCAGAATTAACACTTGGTATTGAATAGTATAGCGCAATCCTGTGAAGTTATTCAGAAGCAAGCCCCATGCATTCCATGGGATTTACTTTCATCTAATGTTGCCCAGATTTGCCACCTGCTTCCAGAAGTTCTCTGCTGCCCTGCCCTCCCAGTTTTCAATGACTTCCACATCTGCCTTAATCTCTTTTGAAAGCATCCCTTTTTAATTCCTAATAATTTACTGGTTTTTTTGTAATGAACATTTAGCACCTGGATAAAATTTAGTTATATTTGGATGAGATGTTTGATTTTCAATTTTCTTAAAAAGCCAGTCTTTTGCAATTCACCCCTCTGCTTCAACCTGTAGTCTTTACTGGGATTTGTTGTAGGGATGGGTGTACAAATGTCATAATTCTTCATGTAATGCAGCCATATTAAACAATCTTAAAGATTTAGTTGAATATTTTTGGCATCCCAGTTAAGATATTTATATTGATTCATTAAGTAGGTAACTAATAATGAACAATAGATTAAACTTGTTTTTACTGTGATTGTCAAAAGATCTAATTTGAGCTAATAATTGGTGTTTGCCCAACTTTTTTGCATACATGAAACCTAGGCTGTTTTTTTTTTTTTTTCTGCCTTGTTCTTTTTTCCTCATCCTCCCCAATTGCTGTGTATTATAACAGTTTTTTTCTCCCTCCTAGGGGAGGAATATCAGAGAATTGAATTTGGTGTTAACGAAGTGATTGAGGCAGGTTCATCTGTGCTGAATAACAGCGACTACAGTATTTCAAGTACTCTGAATCCTCAGGCACCAGAATTCATTCTTGGTTGTGCACCGACCCCCAAAACACCCAGTGATGTCCTCGGCGAAACCAACTGTAACTCCGTTGACTGCCAGTTCACTGATTCTTCTCTTGCTTTGGATAATGGTTCTAATGCTGAAAACGACAGTTTCTCTGGGAGCCTGGGACAGCGGGAACGCAAAAAGAAAAAGAAAAGACCACCTGGATATTACAGTTACTTGGAAGATGTCAGCGATGGTGTTCCTGCTGAGGCTTTGATAAACGGACATGCCAGTTCATCCAGACTTAATAGCATAAGCATAGATGATGTAGAATTTGCAGGTGATGTGCCAAGGACTTGTAATAGCCCTGAAAATTCTCTGGACTTCAGTGGCGAAGCTGTATCAGAGGATTTGGTTTCTAGTGCTCTAGATACTACCAGGACTGCAGGGCAGCCAGAAGTATGCAGTGTTACTAATTTGGAACAATCTTGTGTCTCCTCTGATCCTGAAAGGGACAGCCCGTTAAGGACAGCTGTTGTGCAGTCTTATACTGGTACTGATACTACTGAAAACCTTGGCGTTACTAATGGGCAAACACTTGAATCCTCTAGTGAGGGCACAGCTGCCAATGGGGTAGACTTGCAGACTGTGGAAAACACTGACTCAGACCAAGCTAAGCTGGAGGATGCTTCTTCTTCTGCAGAGGCAGTCACCCCTGTTCCAGGATCAATTGTGGTTAATCAGCCTGCAAAATCATGGGCAAGTCTGTTTCACAATTCCAAGCCCTCTGTTTCCACACCTATGGCTTATGTGGAGACTAAGTATGTCCCTCCTGCTATATCTCCTGTGGTCCCTGAGAAACAGGTTGACGTCAAAGAGGGGCCTGTTCCAGTTTCTGAGGATCCTGTAGCCATAAAGATTGCAGGTATCATTCACCCAGGTTTGAGCTGAAGATAAGTGAGGTTAAGTTAGGAGGAAAATTGTGTGGGTAAAAATATTGCAGTGAAATGATATGGTATTAACAGGAAAGTATTAAAAAATCATTACAGGTAGTCCTTGCTTACTGATTGCCTCTAACAAACATTCAAAGTTACAGTGGTGTAAAAGAAAAAAAGCTTTGCAACCAGTCCTCATATTTACAACATTTGCAGTGTCCCACAGTCACATGATCGCCATTTGTGTGCTTCACCACTGGCTTTCAACAAGCACAGTTAATGGAGAACATGGAAGTAAAGTTTCAAGTTGCGGTCACGTGATGTCTCACTTCACCACCACAGTGATTTGCTTAGCAACTGAATGGGAAGTGACATCATAAGCCTGTTGCGGTCACATGGTTTTCCACTTAGTGACCACGGCACATAGCAATGGAGTTGCCAGTCCCAATTGTGGTCACTAAGTGAGGAATATCTGTAATTGAGTGATACTACATTGTTAAGTTTCTAGTGTTTTTTCAAGTTGGTAAGCACACTGTAGGTTGATGGTCACTTCCTTGTAGTCCTGATGTTGCGTGGAGCAGTTTTGGGACAGTGGCTCTTCGTAAAGTTTTTCCAACTCAACCCATGTTTGCTCTGTTAGACTTGTAAAATTCCCGTCCTTCCCACCTGCTCTCCTGATTGACATCTAGTCCCATTCTGTTGGGAGGGCTGAACCCTGCTTGGAAAAACAGGAATGGAACTTGTTCAAGTTCTGTTCTCATCTCCATAAGAAAACAGATCTGACCATTTGGTAATGGACAACAGTGAAACCCTGAGTTGGAAAATCAGTATCAGTTCCATTTGCACAAAACAATGCAATGAGTTGTAGTCCTCCTGGAGGAGGTCAGCACGAGGAAGGTTGCTTGAACTTATTGTCAGACTATACAACCTGGTAACAGATTCTTGGACAGTGGGCCGTGCTGGCTGGTATTCATGAGGTTGTAGTTGGAAAAATCTGGAATGCATCAGGTTGTCTGCCCCTTTGTCTTGGGAATGTCTGATACTGCACTCCTGATTTATTGATCCGAAATGTGATTTGTGAACTATAAAAAACATAAAAATATGAAGCTGCTCATTGTGAACAGTACTGTATGAGATTATATTCCATAACTGAAAAATACTCCATGTCATGAACATGGAAAACATAGTTGCCAATTCTTCATAAAGTGATATTGGTAACAAAAGTACAGTAAAACAAAATTGTATCATCCTGGACAGTCTTCTTATATAATGAATTAACTGTACCTGGTGCAGAAAATGATAGAGTCTTACTACTAAGTATAGATGTGCCAATTAACTGAATTGCCTAATGTGTATGTGCTAAATAGTGTCCTGATATGGTATTCATTCCATATTGGGAAATATAAAATCTTTTTCCCTCCAAACTCTTTTGTGTGCTTCAGATCCAGAAAAGTAGTAGTACTTAATCCCACTTTATTCTTAGGCTGATTTTATTTATCTTGGGTAAAAAATTCAAGAGTAAATGCATACCACACTGGTGATCAAATGTGCATTTGTCTGCAATATATTATCTTTTTAAAATTTAACAGATCCTTTATTGAAAATTTGGCCAATTTTAATTGGATATTCTATATATATTAGTAATGGAGCAGTGGTATTGTACTAATTGGATAATCCAAAAAGAAATGTAGAATACAGCATTTTAAAAATAGTACCATTAGATTGGTTTTATGCTATTCAGTCTCAAAGAATTACCTCTATAATGAAAATTACTTGTATAGAGTAAGTCTTTTTGGTTCTATTAAATATGTTTTATTGGGACTCTTGCTGCTAGTGTTGGTTACTTTAATAGAGATGTTTTGAGGTCATTCAGGATCTGATTCTTAGAACTCTGTGCCTTGCTTAGTTCCTAGTGCAGGTTCTGTCAAGTACTTCAGAACAAGACTGAATGTTTGTTTAGATTAATACAGTTGTCATGCAGTCTGGTCTTATAACTTTCCTTGAACTTGCCTAATGATTATTAGCTGGGAAATCATTTTTCCATGCACGTGAACATGGAAATGACAGTACCTAATCCTTTTTTTCCAAGCACCCTTAGAGCAGTTCTAATGGGAATACTTAGAATAAATATAAATGTATTGTTAAATAATAAACAGTTGTATGCGCATGCTCTGATAAGCAACTGCTGGTGAAGTTTTATGCTGTGTATAAAATAATATGATACTGTTTCCCTTATCTGTAAGTCCATACCAGTGAATTTTGTGATAAAGCATAGCCATAGTAGGCAAGAAACACTGTGAAAAATTCCTTTCTTTGACCACAAGGGGTTGCTGAAATTCTGCTTTTCTCTTTCCCCTGCTTAATTTGTGACAGCTTCAAGCTGTGTTTAGTGGTAGACTGACTGGCTTTCGCTGATATGTTTGAATTTGTTTTTTATTTGACAGAATTACTGGAAAATGTAAAACTAATACATAAACCAGTATCCTTGCAACCACGAGGGCTGATCAATAAAGGAAACTGGTGTTATATCAATGCTGTATCCTTTCCTTGAAAATATGTTACCCACGTTTGTTAATAGCTTGTGTTTTTGAAGAAGTAAGTGTGAATGGATTTTAATACAAGTAGGCATTAGCCAGTGGCTATCATAATGCCTGTTCAGTGGCTCCCTTGTACTATAAAAAGTAATGTTTATTTTTTTTCCAAAGGCTGTTCAATGTTTGTGTAAAATGCATCTAGCTATCTGTTTTTATGACTCCTTAATGCAATTATCTAGACACTGCAGGCTTTGGTAGCCTGCCCTCCCATGTATCATCTGATGAAGTCCATTCCAATGTTTTCAAAATCACAGAGGCCATGTACTTCTACGCCAATGATTGACAGCTTGTACGTATATCACAGCAGTTGGTGCTAAGGGTTATAAATTGATGGGTCAGCTGCTCTTTTTAAAAATTAGAACATTTTAAAGTTAGAAATATACATATTGTCGAAGGTGACACAGCCCGGAAGACCCACACCAGCCACCTTAGAAATATACATTTAATGTTACCACTGTCATCGTGATCTCCATATGCAAGTGAAAAAGACCCAACTTGTTTGTCTTTTTCTTTTTGTGATTTGGCAATACCCTAACATTGGTATGAGAGGAAAGCAGCATTAGGTTCCCACAAAAACGTTGCCCAGTTCATTCATAGCTACCATGAGGAAATATAAAGTACTGGCCATATCCTAGCAAAGTAAATACATTGAAGCTTGCTTTTAATTTTCTTGCCTGAGGAAAAAGTATGAAACACATACGTAATGGCATTCTGAATTGAGGTTTTGATGAAGCAGGCAGATGTTTAATGTTATAAGAGTATTTGATCCTTGCCTTTTTCAGACATTACTAGGTTGCTGCACAGGTGTTTCTGTAGAAACAGTCAGATTTACTGCTCCTGTTGCTGAAATCAGTTTTCTTCTCTTTAGTGTCCGCCTAATGAATGAGTTTACAAACATGCCAGTCCCTCCTAAGGCAAAACAAGGTAAGTAATAAAATTACCAGCTTCTATCACAAAAGTGGAAGGACTCAGTAGAATCTGTGGACAATGTAATTATGATCTGAACTAGTTTGCACCAAGAAGCATGTCTTAGATAAGATAGAAAGAGCAGCAAAAATCCAGTTTCACTTGAGGAAGAAAGTATGATGAAGATCCTGCTTCTTCCATACTCTTAATATTCTTTGTATTCATTGCAGAGCTGGGTAGAAGCCCATTGAACTTGCTCTGTTCCATTGCATTCTTACATTCATTTATTCTGTTGAATTTATGCTACAAAAAAAAGGCAGCTATCAATAAAGAATGTAGATAAGAAACAATGATTCCAGCAAAAGAAACTTTTTAAAATATTGGTCTTTGTAGCTCTATACTGATCTCCTGCCTCATATGTTTTGCACAGCTTTCTGGTATAGATATTATCAACATGAACGTCATATAACTTGTATAATGCCACAATAATATGGTGGCCGTTATAACCAAAGGAGTTCTCTATTAGCCCTCCTTGTTTTTCATAGACCCATAATTGTTCTCATCTTTTGACGGTTATGGCGTTAGGTAATGCTACACAATATAGCTTTGGTAAAAAGACTAGGAACAATGACTTGACTGTTTGGAGACGCATTACTGTGTGCTGTTTGTGTCACCATATACTCAAGCAACTGACTGTTAGAAACTTTTCCTAATGGCGCTGCTTTGTTCCCTCATGTCTCTTCTGGTTTGCAGCTTTAAGTGATAAAATTGCACGAGACATCAGACCTGGAGCTGCCTTTGAACCCATATACATTTATAGATTGTTGACAGTGATCAAATCCAGTCTGTCAGAAAAGGTGAGGATTCCCCACGTAAGTAATGCTGCAGGAGCAGAATTTGCATTGTGTTTTATTGTGGCTTGTTTTATTATCCACCTGTGTCTAGAACTTTCATATAGTATCAGACAGAAAGAAACAGTTGCATGAATATTTTAGTTGCTGATAAGATTCAGAGCAGAACAACAATAATCAATATTGTGTATTGTCGAAGGCTTTCACGGCTGGCATACGATGGCTGGTGTGGGATGCCGGTCACAGGTGCTGGCGAAACGTTAGGAAACAAAACTTCAAGACCACGGCCACACAGCCCGGAAGACCCACACCAGCCACAATAATCAATATTGTGTATTGTCGAAGGCTTTCACGGCTGGCATACGATGGCTGGTGTGGGATGCCGGTCACAGGTGCTGGCGAAACGTTAGGAAACAAAACTTCAAGACCACGGCCACACAGCCCGGAAGACCCACACCAGCCACAATAATCAATATTGTGTATTGTCGAAGGCTTTCACGGCTGGCATACGATGGCTGGTGTGGGATGCCGGTCACAGGTGCTGGCGAAACGTTAGGAAACAAAACTTCAAGACCACGGCCACACAGCCCGGAAGACCCACACCAGCCACAATAATCAATATTGTGTCAAATTCAAGGTACTTTTTTGTCTGCCAGTCTTATGAAACAGTGGTTTAATTTCAACATTTCAGACTTCATGAATTTGGAATCAAGAGGGTCGATTAACATAAGTTGCAAGGCAGATTGCTTTATTAATTTTTACACAAAGCAGTGATTAATGAGGCTCATGTTTCCTGTCTGCAATTTCTAGGTATTTCAGAAGAAATCATTCCCTTTATCAATCTTTTTGTCCCTTATTTCTATGACTGTGAATAAACTTTGAAACTATGTCACTTCCTCTCTGTCAAAAAAAACTTATTTTGGAATGAAACTGCTGAAGGGAAACTCGGTAGACCAGTAAATAGGATTCTGTACTGGAGTTGATTTGGAATGAACATGTAGAGGGGAAGAAGTGGGTTATGTATTGTAATGTTTATTACTGTCAAGAGATCCCAAGAGGGTTATGTATATTTGCCCAGCACCCCTCATCCAAGCTTCAGCTATTGGTACACGTAAACATTAGCACTAGATTCTGAAATACTAATAAGTTCTCTATGATGGAGGCCTTACCTTATTAAGGTTCCCATTTATGGAATGGATTCTAAATTTGTTCAGTTTATTGCACTTAGTACAAAGATCTGAACCAGGTTTTAACTCTTGAACGTCAAAAGGGGAGGTGGCGTGTGTAAGGGGATGAGGTATCCATGTATTCCTTCTCCTTGGTTTAAACCCATATGGAGGAACTATATAGGGCTGACTTAGCAACATGTTCTGGAGTTGGAATACCAAAAAAACTGCCCATTTTAAAATATAATTTGGGAGGATAGTGGAGGTAGGAGTACACTCTTGCCTCCAGATCACTAATGAGACCCTGAGCAAATCTAGACAGCTTCCGGTTTTGGATAATGAGTAATCTAATGCAGAATCATTTATGCAGGGTAGACAAGAAGATGCCGAAGAGTACCTAGGATTTATTCTAAATGGCCTACATGAGGAAATGCTGATTCTGAAGAAATTGCTATCTCCACATAGCGAAAGTACGTTTTCAAAAAGCCAATTAACATGCATAAGTCTACTTTATATATAACTATTTTATATCTGCTGCATAAACACTGTGTATCATGAGTAGCCATTATATTTCTTCAACCATGAGTTACCCTAATCATGGTTAATGATTTGTCCTTTAACTCTGTGATGAAGCAATTACTTAAAACAGGAACTCAGATTAAGTACTGCATCTGTACTGCACATCATAGTCAAGGCAGGTTCCTTTCTTCTCCACCCTGTTTGCAAAATCATTTTCTGTAATTTCTCTTTTCTACGCCCTGTTGGCATGAGGCTTTAACAATGGTTAAAGTAAGAAGCTTATCTTTTAAATAGATTTAAATGATGTATTTGATCAGAACTGTAACCATATTCAAGTGCAGGGATATGCAGTCTTCAGTCACTCTTAGTCCTATTTTAGCGCGCGCGCACACACACACACACACACACACCACAAAAAAAATATAGGTCTTTCTCTGGTAAGAATTATTTCTCTGTTCTCTGTGGCTTGGGATGAGGGTTGGGGGTATGTGATTGTGTATTTGTCCCTAACCCTACCCATGGCTTCAGTCTCACCTACCATATGATTCCCCAACCACTCATCCCTGAGGAAATGTAGCCCTTGAATAAAACCATTTGTTTAGCGAAATCAGCATAGAAGCAATGCTTCGTTTTACACAGAAAGCTTCTTTGATGTCCGCTGCAGCCAGTGTCAGAACAAAAACTATCCACCCCCTTCGTTACGTAGTGAACCTGGGCAGGGATGACAATGTACACTTTGTCCTCTGTAAAAACAGTTTCCAATGGACCAGAGACCCAGCTTGTAAATGAAGAGGATGAGCAGGAAGAACAAGGTGAAGGCAGTGAAGACGAATGGGAGCAAGTCGGTCCACGTAACAAATCCTCTGTCACTCGACAGGCAGATTTTGTCCAGACACCAATAACAGACATATTTGGTGGGCACATAAGGTATGTTGCATTCTAATTACATCATCACCACCACTGAATAGAGTTCTATTGCTTCCCATAAAATACACTTTGACGTGATTTATGATGAAATTTCTGAATTCAGTAATAAAAAGAGCAGTGTAAGACAATTAAAGGAAACTCACTGAGAAGGTGTGGGGGAAATAAAGCACTCGTGCATCCAACATGCATAAAGGAAAGGCCTTCAACAGGAACCGTCTTGGTTTTGAGTTGTTTAAGGCTGGATACGTTGAAAGCAACACCTTCATTCTGGTTTGGGGGCTTATTAACGGCCAGTGCAGTTTCTTGAGCAGAGATGAAGAAATCTGTAATGTGTACATTGGCAGGCTTGGTTTGTGCCTGGTACAACTTCTGGCCAAGGGCAAAGTTGGCTCCCTAGTGAAAACATAAGTAACAGTTGTAGCTATGCTGTTCCTGTCTGGGAAAGGCTGTAGTTGGTATGGCAGTTCTTTAGGAGAGTGTAATGTGCAGGTTTATGTAAGTGGGAAAGGAGGTATCTTCACCAGTAATTCCCAGTAAATTGGAAAACCAGAATAACTGTCAGGGCTCTTGGCTTCGGCTACTGAAATGTC